TAGTTTAAATCAAAGAAAACGTCAGTGCATGACTCTCATAACTGATGGAAAAAATTATGATTTGAAATAGAAACTGTATTATAACATTAAAGACAGGTGGGGTAATAATTTAAAATAAAATAAATTTAACCTTTTCTAAACTTTAAGATATAAGTCATTGACTCATTTAAAATATATTAAACTATTGGGCCCATACAAATAATTTGTGTATTACATTGGTCAGTGAACAATTGGCATAATGTAGAAATAAGTTAATGCAATGCATTATAAGATAGAGGAAATAATTTCCTTTTTCTCATTTAAATCACATTAGTTCATTCCTAATAACAAAAAAACATGCACAAATTACCATAGGCTGTATCTTTGCTAATAATAGTCCAATTTTTATGATTTTTATTTTTATTTTATAAGGATTCTAGTAATCTTTTAAATAATTGTGGGTCTAATACAGAAAAAAAAGTATACTTTTTGAGTTATTCATGATTTTTTCCCTGAAATATTTGGAGATATGACAATGCTTCGTCACTCACTCAATTTAATTTTGTTTTAAAGCTTATTCATCAAAATTCATGACTCCTAAGAGCTAAAAAAATGGATCTACACTGCAAAATACTACTGTATTATATATAAAGATAGGCACTATTTACTTACATCCAATTTAGTGATATGTAACTTAATATTCTTTTAGGAAAAATAAAATAATGTTTCTATGCAAAGTTTTAATCAAATTAATGAATAAATAGAAATATTAAATTTCAAAATTTATCTTTATTTACTTTTTTATATCAATCGCTAGATCTATGATTGTATAAAAACTAATAATTTTAATTTCTTAAAAAATTGAATTATTTTTAGGTAATTGCTAGTTAACAATTAATTTATTATGCAACATATAACTACAATAGTTTTTTAGGAACACACTATTTTTATAAATTTAAACATAACATTTATTTAATATAATCTAGAATTTATTAAAATGACAGGTTATGGCAGGCACATGTATCATTAAAAGCACATTATTTAAGTTAAATAAATATAATAGTGCGATTTAGTTCCAATAAAGTCAACTTCTCTTTTTGTAAAACATACTATATATAAAAAAAAACTACAATAATAAAATACTATGACTTTAATAAATAGACGTGTCATTCTATTGCTACAAGTCATTAAGTAATATTTAAAAAAATTAAATCACTAAGCAATTTGATTAATTTTCTCTGTGAAATCAAAACACCGAACACTTAGTTTAACTATTTTTGACATAGTTTTCTTATTATTTTGTGGCGCTCAGTTTTTGCATTGATAAATATGATCAAAATTAACAGACATGTACTGAAAAGTTTAGCTCCATCAAAATTCTACCTAGTGACTTCTTGCAATAAATCGACTACTTGCATGTTTCCTATTGCATTCCATATACTCAAGGATAAAAAAAAAGTTCATTCATTTTTTTTCTTTACATTATTCATATTAGTTTTCCTCAAGTTGACAGGTTTAAATGTAAAAATTATTATTGTTATATGGTTAAAATTCATGGTGATGCTTCCATCATAGCTTTTTCATTGGAGATCAGTTGGCCAATAACATGAAATATTTTACTCATGGAGTGACTTGTATAGAAATGTTTTTTGAAAACCAGCTTAAACACAACTTTGGATTTAGGAATAGTTTTCTAGCAGAAATATAAATTCTTAAGGAATTTAAAGCTGTGCTTTTTTTTTTTTTTTTTTTTTTTTCCTTGAGTAAAATAATTTAAAAATATATAAACAGAATAACTATTGAAATTTCTGTATCAGGGGTTGAAATACAATTATTTTTTAACGAAGTATCACATCACAACTTTAATGTTTATTTCCAATATAAAAACCATTTCACGATTTTTATTTGTTTCAATTGTTAATTTTTAGAAATTAATAATGGTTAAAAAAAATTATACTTCTTCATTTTAAGTTATATAAATTTTCTGATGATCAAATAAAGGCCATTTAATTTTTTTTTTTTTTTTATTTAATTTAATTATTTGCAGAAACAAATCTAGATTCAATATAAATCAATTAAAGTATAAATTTAAAAATGTTTAACTTAAGCTTATAGTTGAGATTGACTGGTATGAAAATAAGTACTACACAGTTTGGACAGAAATAACATTACTGTCGGAATAATACTGATTTTTCTAATAAATTATTTTCTATTTATTGTGTCGATTTTTTAAAAAATAGTTGTAATTTCAACCCTTGCTCTCTACTGATTTTAAGCCTGCTACTATAGCTTGAAGACTATTTCATTCAAAAGAAAACTAATTCTCAAAAACATTCTATAATTGACAAGAAAGAAAGAAAAAGTTTAATTACGCACAATTATACTAATTTAGAATATTTTAATATTAAAATTTATATTGTGTATATATTAAAGCATAAACGTTCCAAACATACAAGAAGAAGTTCATCCTGGATTCAAACGCTAGCCATTAAGTGACCAATAAATTGAGCCAAAATATTATAAGAATAATTTTATTCATTATAAAATTAATTATTCAACAATATTTTTTACGATTCATGTAAATTATCACATTGGACAGTAAAGTACTTTCATTGATCACAGCAATAAACATGCTTATGTATAACAAAAACAAATTATATTAAATAATGAGAACAAAACAAACTAAAAATAGGTATAGTTTATATAAAAATGACAAAATAAATTATTAGGAACATGGATGTCATGTTAACTAATTAAAAAATATATCTATCTATTCAACGAATAACATCTAAATACATTTAAAAATGTACAGTTAAAATTTTGTGCGAAATTCAAATGAAAGGAAAACAAAAACTGAATAAGGAATGTATTCGTTTTTGTCTTCAATTGTACATATAAGTAAAATAATTAAAACTAAACGATACCTTAAATTTAGAACAATTTGAACATCTTAAAAGACAAACGATAAAATTTATTAAAATATTGAATCAAAATTAAAATTACACTCTTGTTATTTTTATGATATGCACGTGTAAATGGAATTGTTTCACAATGTTATCTTTACGATAATCTAAAAATTATTTTACATTTTAAAAGTGACTGTTTAAAAAATATATAACAAACTCCAAGGAGGAACTATGAACAATAAAATAACAATTATTAAAAAAAAACTAAAATAATCGTTTCAAGGAATCTACTGAAGTCAGTAGGTTAATAAACTGGAGTTTCTGGACTGGTAGATGAAAAATTCTTGTCTTAAGTTGATTTCACGCTGAAAAAAAAAAAAAAAAAATCATTAAATAAGTTTTGAAAAAAATTTAAGCACTAACACAATTATATTAAACTTAATGAAGAACTTTTTAGTGTGCATAAGTTTGAGGGGAAAAGCCCCTTTATGTAGCCATAAAATTTATACCTCACACATCACATTTAAAGCCTGTAAATCAGAAAAATATTTTGAACTCGATGTTAATAATCAATTTCTGCCTTTGATATCTAAAAATAACCTCACATCTCGGTCTTGTGACGGTTTTAATATTTATTGTTTATTTATATTATTTTATAATTTATTCAGAGTTTGCCAATGAAAACCTCCTTAAATGAAAACAAATGTAATTTGTCATATCTTAATTATTTGTTGACGTTTCGGGATCTTTTTCCCATCTTCAGAACTTCCCTCTTAATTCAATTATATCAATTTCTATGTGTGTTCTTTTGTCTCATTTTATCAAAGGTATTATCCAGAACCACATATCACCTGATTAACAATTATATATCTGTATTGACTCAACAGTGGTAAATACAGATATCGAATTATTAATCAAGTGACTCTCAATAAAACCTTTGATAAAATGAATAAAATAAGACAAAGCAAACATAGAAATTGATATAAGAGAATTGAGAGAGGAGTTCTGAAGAAGGGAAAAAGATCCCGAAACGTCAACAAATAATTAAGATTTGACAAATTACAACATTAGTTTCTACTTAAGGAAGTTTTCATTCCCAAACTCTGAATTAATTAATAAAAAAACTACCCAATAAAAAAAGAAAAGAAGTAATAAGTATTTTAATATATGTATATGCATATAAATTTACTGATTATTTTAATTAAATTATATGTAATGAGATCCTGAAGATCAGGCAAAATGTTAAAACAATGATGTATTTATTTATTCCTCCCTTCCTTGCCTTTCGGCTATGCGGGATTTCACAGGGGTGGCATATCAAAAACGTGACAAACAATGATGTATATGTTTTTAATTAATCATATGAAGGGATGAATAAAAAAAGTAATTTTATTCTGGAACTACAGTCCTCTAAGAATAATAATAGTTACAAATTTATGAGTCTTAGTCTGGCTTAAAATAATAAAAAATGTAAACTAATTAACTGCTGATTGTTATTGAAATTGTGCAGAAGATTGAAATTAAACAGTATACAGATACAAGTACTTTTACATGTCAGCGGAAGTTTGAATTTAGAGTAGATGGTGGAACAGGAGTTGTTGGAAGGAATTTGTGGACGAGGATTGACGTATGGAGGTAGGAAGAGAGTTCCAAAAGGAGGTAGCACGAATAAGGATTTGCTGAAGGAAGTAGTTTTATGGGAGAGGATATATAAATCTATAGGTTGAGACCTGGTATTAAGAGAGTGGATAGAATAAGAAATTCCAGGATGTATGGAGGGTTTTTGGTTCTGAGGGCTTAGAAAAGGAAAACATCAAGGAGGAATTATCGTCGGGAAGTAGGATAAAGCCTCTTCAACTCGGTGTACCAGAGTGAAACATTTGAACGCATGGGAATCCCGAAGATTTATCTTATGAAACAGTTCGTGAGATTCTTCATTTTATTTTATGAATTTTATTCTGGGACTACTGTCCCCTAAGAATAATAACAGAGTTACAAATTTATGGGTCTTTGTCTGACATAATAATAGAAACAGAAACTAATTTACTGTTGATTGTTATTTCAATTGTGCAATAGATTGAAATTAAACATTGTATAGATGCAAGTAATTTTACATGTTTGGGGAAGTTTGAATGTGGAGTAGGTGATGGAACAGGAGTTGTTTGAAGGAATTTGTGGTCGAGGATTGGCGCATGGAGGTTGGAAGTGAGTTCCAAAAGGAGATAGCATAAATGATGAAGAATTTGCTGAAGGAGGAAGTTTTATGGGAGGGGATACATAAGTCTATACGTTGAGACCTGGTATTGAGAGAGTGGATAGAAGAGCGTAGAGTAAAGAGTTCCAGGATGAAGGGAGGGTTTTTGGTTCTGAAGACTTCGGAAAGGAAAACACCAAGGAGGAATTGTCGTCGGGAAGTAGGATAAAGCCACTTCAACTCGGTGTACCAGAGTGAAACATGTTGAACGCCTGGGGATTCCGAAAATGTATCTTATGAAACAATTCTTGAGTGTTTTTAGTCTCATTTTTGGCCTGGCAGTGAGACCTCAATACACCAAACAGCTGTAGTCGAAGTGGGGGTATATAAGGGAGGTTACAAGGAGCTGTGTGAATACAATTACGGAATCTAAGGAGTTATTTAAGGACAGTTATGGATTTTCAGGTAATCTGGGAGATATGGTTATTCCAGGAGAGGTTCTGGTCAAAGGTTATTCCTAGATTTTTGATTGTAGGGGAAAAATGGATAGGGTGGTTATTGAGGTAAAATAGAGGAAAGTAAGGAAGGGAGGTAATGAGATAATTAAGTATAATGAAGAATATTTGTAATTTTCCCATCCAATTACTAAAATTAAATAATTTTTCATAACATATATCAGGGGTCTTCAAAATTGTTGGCCTGTGGGCCATATGAGGACCTCAATCAAGTTCATTGACTTGTCAAGTAAAAAAAAAGCTTGTTATATAGATGACACTTCAGTTGTGAAATGAGCATTCTAAAAGAAACAACTAACATAATAAATGTCGTAATCTCCTATTTGAGTGATTTAATAAATTTCATATTTTGTAAATAGTTTTTAAAATTATACCATGCAATCAAATAAAATTTCACATGCAGGATTGGATGTACTTGCAGGCCGTAATTTGGAGAGCTCTGATGTATATCATCACTTTATTGCAAAAAGTCATGACGTAACAGTATATAAAATTAAATTATTAAGTGTTTTGTTGAATTATACCTCTGAGATATCAGAATATAGTGTACTGAGTGTAACTATTTTAGATATATATATTACAGTTTCTGTGATTTTAAGCTGAGTTTTAAATCGATGAATAAGATGAAAATTCACTAAAGCGTGCTCAACAGTTTAGCTCCACTCAACTAGGAGTGGGAGAGAAAACACCAAACATTTAAAAAAAAAACAGTTCTTGATCTCAAACGACTGTTCTTCCAAACGGATAAGAACTGTTGTTTTTCTTTAGTTCACCCGTTTGTCACTAGTCGAGTTGCTGTCTGTTCTGTTTTTTCCAAATGATACAAAAGCTCTTTCTGCTTTCCAACGAACCTATCATCAATCATGAAAATTACCCAGCAGTTTTTTACGAGACATCTTTCAACTGTTAAGCTTAAGGGATCTAATTTTTAGCTTCCATTATTAATGAAGACTAGAAATAAATAACTATATTATAGTTATTATATTACTAAATTAATTTAAGCATATTTGTAGGCAAAATTAGTTGATGTTTTTAGATGTATCTATCTATATCAGTGTCTTGCAGACCAAAAATAATTTTTATGATTGAACATATTCACATAAACCAATTTAATTGCATAAATAAAATTAAACTACTACATTCTATAAAAATTTAAAAAGTTAATCAGTTGAAAAATTGTTTGAATTACAGTTAAAAGACTCATGGTGACCAAGCAGCATAACTTTAAACTCCGAACTTACAAAAAGGTCAAAATATTGTTAAAATAAAAAATATTCTATGTGTAAAAAAAATAATTTTTAGTTTTAATTAGTTTAAAAGTAATTTTTAAGATTAAACATTCATGTAATATTACAAATAAATTCAAAGGTTATCAATTTCAAGCTCAAACAATGCCAAACTTCATACATAAAACGATTCATTCATTTTCAGACTTGTTATCCGTTTTAAAATGAATAAGACTGTTATCAAATGAATAGGTATTACTCGATGAATCGTTATGGTGTTCTATGAATTATGTTTCTTAACAGTTCTTAAAAACTTTTGTTTTCGGTCAACGAACAGTTCATTTAGGTTTTTCAAAAGTAGTAGAAACGCCCACCTCTACACTCAGCAATACACCCAATGACTGTTTCCAATAAGACAGTAATAAATATTTTATTTAAAAAATTATATTTGATTATCCTAAATGAAAATTAATATAAAGAACTTCATGATACAACAGAGAATCAAATAAATAATATCATATTAATTAAAAATCTATTATTCATGAAATATGTATATCTGATAATATAATGTTCACAGCTATGTTAAAAACAAATTTATTTCACATATCACTATTATTAAGTAAATAAAACTGTTTATCAGAAATACAGACTGAAGATGAAATTTCAAATTGATTGTGCAATTAATGTTGCAAAATTTCAAATTGATTGTGTAATTAATGTTGCCTTTATTACAATTATTTTTAATAATAGTAAATACTTTGAAATAATCATAACATTGATAATTAAACTTCAATGTTTCAGATTTAATCAAAGGATTCAAACTTTATCAAGAATTAACAAGGCTCATGGTCTGTCTTTAAATCTATAATTGTTAAAACACAAATCCTTACATAACCTATTTCCGAACTCCATCACTTCAGCAATATGACATTAAACAGCACCTCAACAGGTGCAAAGAATAAAATAAGTCAAATTTAAAAATTAAATAAAGATGTTATTAACATATTTTCTCACGTCAATCTAATATGTATTCCAAGGAATATTAAAAATATGCATAACAAAACTCAAAAAGCAGAACCTATTCAACAAAAAATCAAGCCTTAAATGCCAGTGTAGAAGAATATTAATATAAATAAATAAATGTTCAATGATAAAAAAAAGTATTTAAACTTTATGGTACACAGTGATGAAATTTCAAAATGTCTTGTGACTTGCCACTTTATACAAAAAAATGTATAAACAGACAGATTCAGTTGATAAAAATTATTTTTTTACAAAAGGAAAATAAGAAATTTAAGTAAAAACTTTTAAAGGATATTTACTTGAATTTGTCAATACTATTTTGGATATGGCGGTAATCCAAAAAGTTCAGGCTTAAAATCTTCCAAGGACTTCAGAACAAGTGTCGCATCTTTTGTCTGTTCCTCAGGAACGTAATCTTCTGGTATCATAACAACTTGCATACCGGCAGCTTTAGCACCAGCGACCCCGTTTGGAGCATCCTCAAAGACTAAACACTGAAAAAAAGAAGACAATTTTTATATTCTAAAGATATATAAAAAATTGAAAAATCATAGAAATTTATATAAATTAAAAAAATAGATCCAGAAATGCTTTAGCTACCCATTTTCTAAAGTAACTAATTTTTTTTTCTTTTTTATAATAACGGATGTTAGACTCATTAGATGTATTTTTAGATTTATATATTATTCATTAAACAACTAGTATTAATTCTACCCCAACCATGTTTTAATTATTTCCTCTTAAATTAAACAGCAAAGAAGCTTTATCACTTTTTTATGATTCAGCTCATAAAGATGTATTGAGAATGACTTTGATACATCTACATACTCAATCAGTAAAATATATTATAATTTATATTACTAAAAAATTAAGTTTATGTCAACCCATATAATCTTTTATAAACACAAAACATTTTTATTAAATTTCCAAGGTTAGACCGAACAAACATACTATAAAAGCATGATCCTTAGATTTTACAGTATTATATTTACTTAATAATTTCAAGGTTTATTGCACTAATATGCTTTCCAGTTAACAAAATTATGTAATGTAAAATAATGTAATAATTCTAATAACAAAAAATGTAGCTGCACTAAGTTTTGTTTTTAACATACTAAACCTCAAACTGTCAATTTTGTGAAAATACAAAAAAATAATGACACTAAATAAATATAAACAAAATTGATATATCATCAGTGAAACCAAATTTAACTTTGTAATTGAAGAATTCAGTTCTATTTCGAACTTCTTTCCAATAAGTTGGTAAGGTGCCAAGGTTAATAATGAGTTTTTTCTTATGTCATATAATAATAGGAATGCTTTAAAAAAAAAAAAAAAAAAACCTACAAACCTTTTGAGGGGATGGTGGGTTTGGAAATCGGTTGGCAGTAATCAAAAATATATCTGGAGCAGGCTTTCCATTAACTACTTCTGGATCCGAGCTACCTGTTACCATGTGACTGAAAAGGCTAAACAAATGAGGAAGATTGGCAGTTTTGATTTTGCACTTCTCTTCACCACTGCTTGTAGCAATAGCTATTGGAATTTTGTGTTGATGCAAATGAAAAATAAGTCTTTCAGCACCTAAAATGAAATACACAGAAAAAGTATAAATAAAACTGAAAGTCAACACATGCTTGCTTTAATGACATTTACAAACCTGGTTTACAAGGAGGATTTTCTAAAGCTGGTTTTTGCAAAACTTGCACTTTTTGTGAAAATTCCGTCGGAGTAAGGGGTAAATTTAAAGATTCCACCAACACCCGACAAGCATCTTGTTCCTTAGATCCAGTAATTGCTAGACGAAGATCGTCAGTATAAGTTTCACCATAACTTTCAATAACTTTCCTATAAACCTCAGTGTATATAGTTTCAGTGTCTGAAGAAAAAAACAAAACAAATAGAATTAGAAAAAATAATAAATTCAACCCAGGATACATAAATGAGCATATATAGTAAAGGAGTACATATAATTTTAGCAAAAACATAATATAATTTACCTAAAATCGTTCCATCTAAGTCAAATATCACATGACTAACTGGAGAGTAGGATGCCATAGAAAAGTTTCTGAATTTACCTAAAATATTAAAAAAATACTTGAACTGCAAAATATTCATTTGAGCTTGCCAATTGGCAAATCGCAGGATTTCGAGACAAACTTTCTAATTTATATCAGCGTTATCAGTCCTAGCCAAAGAGCTTAGAATAAATAAGATAACAACAACTAAAAAGTTTCTTTCCATGGAAAGCATGTAAAACCGCATGACATATTCTAAATTTCCAAGTCATTAAAATGCATTTTTTTTTTTAATTTGTTTCCCCATACTGCACAATCCCCCCTTTTATACATGCATGTCCTGCAAAAATAAGAGATTTTTTTATGGTGGAAAAACTATCTAAGAATCCGGTTCTATAGGACATCTTATATTTGATTATAAAAGACTTTTGATTACTTCAGTAATTATTTTTTTGTTCACATCTTCTATAACCTTTCATTCAACAAAAGGATAAGTCCCTAAACTCAGCGCTAATGCTATTGAAGGAATCTATCAAACGATTGGATCCAGTACTAACGAAGAGCAAAATTATGCTGGTTTACTTGAGCTATCTACTAGATTCTAGAGCAATGTTAACATTCCTGAAAGGTTACAAACAGAAAAAAAAAAATACATTTGCCTACTGAATTCCTGAGTTTCAAAACAGAAATAAATAAAAAGAAAATTGAATATAAATTTCTGAAGTAAATTGAGAAACAACTACACTGAGCCGAATGTTCCTCTGAGCGGACGGTGATTGAATCGATGAGTAAAGAAACGAACTGTATTCCATTTTAATATTCATCTGAATTCATGAACGGCAACTGATGAATAACAATTAAATCCGAGCTGTGCTGAGTTCAGCAACTTGTTCAAAACCAACTAGAACGTTTCAGAACTAACATATTAAGTTCATTAATTCTAAGTTAATAAATCTAAATTGGTTAGTCCAATGCGTCGGCTAGGAACACGATCGTATCGATCACACTTAAGATGGATCCTGAGAAACACTGAGTATTGATAATCATATTCACCTACTACATGTTTCTTCTCCCTTACTTATGCATAATATTTAAGTTAATTACATTACCACGGTTTTGTTCTCATGTATTCATAATTTATGGTTAATTGGGACTATGCTTAGTTATTAAAATATAATCACGAGTTCTCGTTTTGTTTCACCCAAAAGAAAAACAAACTCCCAACTATCATTCATCTTCATTTGACTTATATAATTTTTAAAGAAGAATTGTCCTTTTAACCCATGACTATAATTTAGGTAATTTCATATCAAAGAATCAATTGCGGATTTTTTTTAGTCCTCGTATCCGATTTTACATTACGTATGTTTTTTTTTTGCTATCTTCGGTCGAAAATCATTGAAATAATATGGTATTCAACATAAAAAATACTTCCATGATTTATTTTTCACGAAACTATGGGAGTCGGACTGACTGGGTTTTCAGTTTGGTAAATAAGTAATAAAAATAAGTAACAATAAAATAAGTAACACTTCTAATATTATATAATAATAAAAATAAGTAACACTTCGAAACTAGAATAATAAATACTTTATAAGAGTTAGTTTCTCTTTTACGAAATTTTAGGTTCCATTACATTCCGTTTTAGTTTCATTCTAACATATGTTTGGAATAATTACGATACGGATTAAAGTGTCTACGTTTATGGTTATTTTTAATTTAAATAAGTAAGTCTTAAATTAATTAAATTGTGTGTATAATAAAAAACAGAAATGGATTTTTGTTCATTAATATTTTTCTGTAACTTTAGGTAAGGGAATATTTAAGGAAAATTAAGACAAATATATGAATTTTACCAACCACAATAGTTGTATTGCAAGAATTATATTTAAAAAAGATAAAAACAAACAAATCTATAATATAAAATTTAGAATCAATTAAAAAATCAAAATAGTAAAACCTATATATAAATTAATTAAAAAATTGGAATTTAAAAAGAGCCATTTTTACTTTATCAGCTGATAGTCGAGTCAGACGTTCGCTACTCAACGTGCCACTTTTGAAAAGATTATTTGGTTTGGAACCAAAATGGCGACTATACTCAACATTTCTTTGTCAGTGATCTACAAATGAAGATCGTTGTTTTGCAGAACAAACCACCACTTAATAGGATCCTCGTTGTCGTATAAAATATCCTTTTCTAATTGCCTTTGATTCAGGTATCCCTTTCGCAAAATTTTGCTCTCGAACTCTCATTAATGAAGTTCGTTTGTTTTTCTTTTGTTCATTTGCTGTACTACTTTCCGTTCCTCTCCATTTTCCTCAGCTTCAATAATTTTTCTGTTGTTATAAACAGTTTAATATTACGCATATTTGCATCATTATTCTCTATCGTCTTTCAAGTGTTGTTTAGAACGAAGATAGACCTATAGTCGGAATTGTCCATCTCTATTTGTCATTATGTTCGAGTTAGTAATCGGATGAAATTTTTGAAGTTAAAGATAATTATTACTTCAGGAATGGAGATCAGTACCAATTAGTATCTTCTCCTAACTTAGATTTAAAATATTTTGTTCTAGAAGATCCCTTAACTAGTTTTTTAAAAGCCTTTCTCGTTATTTACCCGCAAGTGAATCTAACATACGTCTTATACATATATATTTTTTTGTTAAATCCTTAGATTTTGCATTATGTCTTTTATATATAATTGCACTATTGGTATATAAATTATACTTTCTAAATACAAAGATAATGTGATCTTAAGCCGAAATATAATTTTGGATTTCCAAATGAAATACTAGAGTTCTTCTTGGATGGTGCTGAGACATCTTTTCAACACTCCAAGCAAGTTGTTGTTTATGCCTATCGATACTATAGCCAGTTAAACTGTTTTGTTGACAACATTGGGCGTGTTCAATGTTATTTTAATTTTCAAATGATTAGAAATTTTTAGATCTGAAATCAAGGAATGGCTAAGTCTCGCACAGGTTTAATTTCAACAGGAATAGCAGTTCTTTCTTTCCTACTAATTATAATAGCTTTTTCAACCCCATACTGGTTAGAAACTGATGATAGGCTCAAACATCCTAAATTTAAAAGAATTGGTGAGTGAAAGTTTAAACCCTTCTCTAGTTTAATACATATAATTGTATTAATGATTATAAATTTGTAAGAAGAAATGTCTTGCGTAGTGCTTCATTACATTTAAATGTCTGATTGCTTAATACTGTGTTGTTGTTTATGATGTTTATTCGAAAGTTTATTCTCTTGTAGTGGAATAACTTTTTAAAACATTTTAATTACATTTCTTCTGAGTAAGCAGCTTTATATTTACAGACATTTTATTAAAATAATTGATAAATTTCTTAACATGTTCACCCTAATATTTCTGTTACACATAAACTATTAATTGAGCTTAACTGATTAATCCTAAAACTGACTTTTACCAAGTTCTTAAATATGGTTATTCGCAAGTTCTAAACACACTTCTTCACATAATAAAGTATTCAACAAAAGAGCTCAATTAATATAAAATTAGTTTCATAATTGAGTTTCCTTGATCATACTTGGTGATATAATGTTTTTAGTGTCTCTTATAAAAGTTTCGAAAATGCGTTGAGCAGTTTTTGAACTAATTTGATCTAATGTTACCAATAAGACATTTAAAACTTTGATATAGTTGAAGTTCTCAATTTCAAACACATTGCCAAGATATGTTTAATTTTTATATAAATGAGACATGTACTGTAGTAGTATGATGTCTGTACGAATCGCAGAGCAAGATCACATCATCTGATTGTATATCAAATGCCGAAGTTATTTTAATATTCTTTATAATATTTAGTATACTGTTTACTTGTATTGAATATTTGTGGATCAGTCGTCTTCATATATGCTTGGCTAGTTTTGGTATTCCATGTGAAGTGTGATCGATGTGTTCTGGTACACTTGACATCCAAATGTGGCACTTCTATGTTTTTACTGGATGATTTATTATTGTATAAGTTAAAAGTTGTTGTTTTAGATATGTGTGAACAATTATTTTTTAATTTTGTGAAAATAAGTTGATATGTATGTTTATAAAACAATCTTATGAAATTCAAAATTTATTTGCAGGTTTATGGGAAGTATGTTTTATAGAGTTCAAAGAGCCTCATTTCTGGTATGATACTACATTTTCGAGTTGCTGGTGGATATTTGAAGAGGAATTTTATGTTATATTCGATTTTCTTTTACCTGGTAAGTTATGATTAATTGAGTATGAGTCATAATCCTATATATTGTTTCTAAAAGGTGTTTTTTTGTCGGTATGCCATAACTTTGTCAATTCTTCATCAAATCAAATGATTGACCACTAATTTTTCTTCTTCACATGCGAATTGTCCTATCCCCCCGAAATTTCTGGAAAAAAGTTATAAAGGAAAAGAAACTTAATATGCAAATAATTCAAAAAGTATGCATTATTTCTGGATTGTACCCATGATAATTAGAAAGATTACTAAATTATCTACAAAACAAAAACAAAAATCAGACAATTGAATGGACAATGGACGAAGATACTGTCCATTAGTTTTGGTATATTTAATAATGTCTTCCTCTTTAAATATATCGCATTTAGGAGTAGAATAGTCTACTAAAACTTTATTATTTCTTAAAGGCATTTGTTTGCTCTTAAATTTTATTTTTTTTAATAATTTAGAAAATCCCATAATCGTGGCATTATTTATTTTGTCTTTATTACTATTATTATCTTTCCAGTCAGCGTTAAAAAATAGGTTCTAACAAAGCTATTTGTACAAATATTTTGGTCTATTATCTTAATGGGATATTGTAATCGACCAAGGAAAATATATTAATTCCTTCCTTAAATAATGCATAGAATCTACTTATTTCCATATTGTTTTCCAACTAGTCATAAATATGATAATAAACTTGTTTTCATTAATTATTTCCATTTCATTCTAACTTGTTTCTTTACTAAATGCCTTGTGTGCAAATAAGCTGTAAGGAAAAGTGCACAAGAAAGATAATTTTACTCTCAATTGGTTTTGAAATTGACCCAAAATAATCCGCATTATCAACTATTGCCGAAACTCTCTTAACTATATGATAACATGGGTGATAAATATTCAGGACACAGTCATTATAAAGTTTTTATTGGTGCCAACGTTTCAACCCAAACATGTGGGTGTTTCGAGCACTGAAGGTATTCAAGTACTTATAGTAGAGTATTAGTGTCCCTTTAGAACAAATTTCAAATATAGAATATATATTAATATTCTGATGTGTCCATAAAATATAATTAAATATTTACAATATGATCAGTAATAAAATAAACGAACAAATAATAGAAAGGCATATAAACATACATAAATATAAAATAAACAGAGCAAGTAAAGTTGATAAACAAAATATCAATAAATCACAAAATAATCAATGTATCTAGGGGTACTTTGAGATTCCTACGATTTAGATTTTTAAGTCCATTTCATGATCAACCGGGTTGGGAATAGAGTAGGTATTTGAAGAGGAGAGTTTTGAAAGAGGATACTGATTTTGCGTGTCGAATATCAAAGGGGATAGAATTCCAGAGCTTGAATTGAAAAGGATTTGTCTAACGCAGCAGTTCGGTGAGGAGGATAGAGGTCGGACGTACAGGATCTAGTGGGACAGGATTTAAAGGAGCATTTGAATTTTAGGATCTGTAGAATATAGGAGGGTTACCGAGTTCTAATAGCGTGGTAAAGGAAGGTAGCAAGGAAATACTGACTGCAGTAGGGCGGATAAAGCGACTTCAACTCGGTGTAACACTGGGGCGTATTCCTTGAGATTCCGAAGATAAAGCGGATCGAGCAATTCATTAGACGTTTAAGTTTAGCTTCGAGTTCTCCCAAGAGTCCACCATACACCATACATGATATGTAGAACAGTCGACTAACTTCCTTCAATAACTATATGGTAATGAAGTGAATGATGGTTAGGGTGATCACCCAAAATAAAAATGGCAAAAATAAATAATAATATTTATTTTAACATTTGCCGACGTTTCGACCCGAAGTTCAGGCCATCATCAGAGCTGAGAAAAGAACCAGATAACAATAGGTATGAATAACAAAACAATGTAGGTAAAAAAAAAACTTAAATTAAAATGAAGTAGATAAGTGAACATTAAAGTAAAATAAAGTAGGTAGAATAATGACATAAACAAGAACTAAGTAATAAATAATAATAACGACTAAAAAGTGCGGACTAATGAAGTGAACATAATCAAAATAAGTTAACATAAGTCCTAAAAGTGGTAATCTTAGAATAAAATGTAAAACAGAGAAAAGGAATATGAAGTTATATAAGAAATAAATAGAAATAGAAAAATTGAGATATTTTAAATAGAATAGTTTGAATAGTTGAAAGAGATACTTACAATATCTCAATTTTTCTATTTCTATTTATTTCTTATATAACTTCATATTCCTTTTCTCTGTTTTACATTTTATTCTAAGATTACCGTTTTTAGTTCTTATGTTACTTTATTTTGATTATGTTTACTTCATCATTCCGCACTTTTTAGCTGTTATTATTATTTATTACTTAGTTCTTGTTTATGTCATTATTCTACCTACTTTATTTTACTTTAATGTCAATCTACTTCATTTTACTCTTAAGTTTTTTTTACCTACATTGTTTATGTTTCTCATACCTATTGTTATCTGGTTCTTTTCTTAGCTCTGATGAAGGCCTGAACTTTACAAACAAACAATGTAGAAAAAAAACATAACATTTACGATGTTTTTTGTAACAGTTACGATGTTTTTTGGGTTGAAACGTTGGCAAATGTTAAAATAAATATTATTATTTGTTTTTGCCATTTTTATTTTGACTGATCATTCAAACCATCGTTCCCTTCATTATTCACTACAGTCAACCATCAACCCACAACTATATGATAAGTTTTATTATAATATCGGTAAGAACTTCTTTAAAAACAATAATTATGACACAGAGTAACTGAAAAATAATTTCAAAAACATTAAATTATTCCCGGAAAAAAGAGGATTTTAGATGAAAAATAATTTTAATGGTGGACTTTTTTCCTGTTTTCTTTTCTCTATATTTTTATCATATTCTAAATAAACAAATGCTTTATTTATTTAGAAACATAAAAATAATTCTTTTTAAAATTATATTACTTTAACAATTTAATCTATTCAAAATCTCTATGGCCTTTTAAATTTTTTATAATTGATGTTTTTGTATCAATATTTTTTTATATACCAATAGTTGAATTTTTATTTATAAAATCTGTCAATTTCTTTAAAATATTTAATTTGTATTCATTTTAATGTGTTTTTTTTATTTAATCAACAAACTATGATTAATAATTTTGTACTATTATTGGACTCAGAGAAAAATAATATAATTTGGACAACAAATTCCAAACATAAATTTATATATTTCCATTTTAAGCTATTAAAGTAATTTTTTTTAATACCTTATTTAAAAAATTTTCATTTTATTATTTTTCAGGTTGGTTCGTTTGCGTCCAGTTCTTTTTCACCCTGTGTTTTACGCTTCATTTGATTGCTCTTGGTTGTGTATCTCTTTATATGATTTGCAGCCGAGAAAATTATAGGTTTATTCATTTATTAGTGTTTCTAGGTGGCACTCTTAATATTGCAGGTATTTGTTTAAAAAATAAAATTACCTTTGAAATTTTAATTATTAATAATTTTTTATTGAATATTTAATAGTTGACCATTGCATTATAAAGGAAGGAGATGGTCCGGGGTGGCGGTCATAAATAGGCTAAATAGTCGTAAAACTATTTTATTAAAAGCCATCTTTTCGACCCGACTTTGCAGGTCTTCTTCAGGGAGTTATGTTCAGCTAGGAGTATCACTTAGAACTGACTTAGGAGTTTTACTTAGAACTAAGTGAACACACCTCCCTGAAGAAGACCTGCAAAGTCGGGTTGAAACGTTGACTTTCAATAAAATAGTTTTGCCACTATTTAGTCTGTTTATGACAGCCGCCTATTTGTTATATATTATATGAAATTATAACGTTGTATTTATTTTCAGCTTTTAGTGGAACAATTGCTGTTTATATTTTTGGACTTTATGGCGACGGCCGTGATTGGATGCCTAACTGGGAACACAACAATATAGGATGGTCTTACGCTCTTGCAGTCATTGGCGTTATAGGATCTTACATCTCCGGAACTCTATATTTAATAGAAGCGAGGCGGCACAAAATTAAAAGGGATAGAGCAGAGAAGTCTTTAGGAAGACATAGTTCTATCTAATTTTTTTAGCTTTATTTTATTCAGTATGATCTATCAAAAGGAAGTATTTTTAAAAATTAATTATTATTTTAGCTATGTCAAAATGGGAAAATGACATATTTTTTTTTTAATTTTATTTTTTGTTTATGTTGATTCTATTTATATCTATATTTTTAAAACTATTTATGAAGCAAAATTTATTTTGTTTAAAGGTTATTAACTTTAAAACATAAATACTTCTCAAACTAAGACTTTTACAAAGAAAGCTTGATTACAGAGACGTTTTTAAGAAATCAAGCTGAATATGATGGTAACGAAATTAAACAATTAAGTTGTCTTAATTGTTTGTAAGATTATGATTTCTCATTCTCACCAAAGTCATTAAAATATTGAAAATTAGTAATTTAAAGTATTTTTATAAATATATTTTAATTTTGTTTTTAACATTCACATTGTATTCCACTTAGTAGAAACAAATTGAGGAATTAGTTTCCCTAATTATAGTAAACGAAGATCTGTTATATATACATTATTTTTCATTAATTTTACTATATGGATTGACAATGTTTTACGAAATGACAATCTAAGCTAGTTAGTAGATTTAATTAAAATTAATCTTCTAATTATGATGAGTACAATGCTGCTAAACTTCTCTATTTCTGATACTATTCTTTTAATGAAACATTAACGATAATTGTTATTATCGATCATTTGTATGAAAGAGTGATTATGGGACCACTAGGGCTTTCCAGGGCCGAATCTAAAGAAGAGGGCGCCAAGTTTTGATCGTAATTTCATTTTCAGCTAACATAAAAATTATTCGTTTCCATTTTTTTTTTTAGGATTTGTACAATCACATTAGGTACTTGCCGGGATAGACAATTTTTAGGAACGGCAAGCTTTGAGTGGAATTACAATTTTAAATTCAAATTAAATTGTATGTATAAGAAAAAAAAAACTCAACTAATGAAAAATAAAAAAGCTGGTCAAATTAAAAGGAAAGTATATATAATGTTAAAGAAATCTGCCGTGGTAACATCTACCAATTTTTATTTTTAACCTAAATTCAGTCAATAAAAAGAGTTACTGTTAGGAAATAATAATATTTATATCAAAATATATCATCTGAAATACTATTTTAAACTGATTTTTATTTTGGAGGGGAGTTATGAAAAATAAAACTTGCCCCTACTGTTTGCAAAAATTCTCTTTCCGTCTCTTGGACTACCAAATTATAAATTTATAGAGCAATGTTCATTCCTTATTGTATCGTAAAGACTTGAAAACATTTTCTTTGTTTTTAAACCGATAACTTGCCCATTTTGTATGGTGCACAATTAATAAGGCTGTACCGACACAGTTATTTAGTAATGTGTATTATATCTGTGAAGTTATAATTAAATCTCGATTTTTTGGCTATAGTTGCACTAAAAAAAAGATTGTGAACTTGTATTATTTTGACTGAATTTTTAAGTTCTTTTTGTCATTTTTTTTTCTTATTATTAGTTAATTAGTAAATATTAAAGGATGATCTTCCATTGATTCCGGTGATATTTACCTTTCGAGCTTAGAAATGAATTAAAATATCAATCTCAGACTTATTCACACTTACCCGGTTGTCAGATAACCGACGTATAGCTGACACAGACATAATACTGTGTTCGATCATGGCTGACCTGTATAATATAAGAAGAAACAAGACATTCTTTTTACTTTTCAATGATTTGAGAAATCTTTTGATTTCCTGCCTTCTAACATTAATTGCACAACATTCCTCTATCATTTATGAAGCAAGTGTGATATTTTGTATATTTTTTGTTCTGTCATTATTTAAATGAATACCAGATAACTGTGAAAAATATACTTACACTTAAACATTAGTACTGATGTATTGTAGGTTATAGTAAAATGTGACACACACAAAGTATCAGTTACTTTCAGTCACTACTTGATACAAACTTTATGAGAGCGTTGTTGATGATTGATGTATTTTTACCTGTTGTATTATTAGTAGGAATATTTTATTATTAAACTGTTTTATTAATACGTTAGTATATAGTATTTTTTTTTTTTTTTTATGGTAGACTCATTTTCAAATTCATTGGTTGAAATATGTTTTAGAGTGAAATTGAAATATATTAAAATTTGGCTAAATGATGAAATCCGTGATTACTAATTTGCTGCCAGATGTCGAATAATCCAAATCACCAAATAGTAACAAAATGTAGTCAAACGTCTATGTATGTGTTTAAAAAATAATGATGGATCCAGTTTTGGAAAACAGCAGAAATAATATAAATGTTACACTTTCATACCTTAAACTTTGATAAATGAAATGGTGTTGAAATGATAAAAGCTAACACACTACCCTTGATACTTCAAATAATAATAAAAAAATCACTGTAATTTTTTTTAAGTTTACGATGTATCAGGTTCATAAAGTCAATAAAAACATTATTTTGATTGGTTGGTAGCACAGGCGGATCTACGAGGGAGGATTTTGGGTTGAAGTTCCCTCCCCATAAATGGTAAAATATAATCATGTCTTTTGAAAAAAATGATCACTGAAAGTTTTATTTTTCGCATAATTACATTTAATATGAATTTAAGAATCACTTAAACAAACACCATTTCATATACATAGGTAGTTAGTTTCCTTCTTTTTCTTTCAATGTAATTATCGTTATATACATTAAAAAAAAAAAATTTCGTGCTGAAGCACCCTCCCGAAATAAAATTCTGGATCCACTAGTGGTTGGTAGTTGGTATATATGATAAAAATTATTAAAATAATATAGAAGAACAGAAACAATTTTTTTCCAGTTTTAGCCAGCGGCTTTGAATGTATGCAGCTCTCTATTTGAGATCTATTTTCTACCTATTATTAGTTGTCTCAGTTTATATTTTACATTCCAGTTTATCTATTTTTCTATTGTTTCCTTGTTATAATATTTATTGTTTCTTTTTTGTATGATGATTATTTCAATTAATACTGTAGGGGCGTTCCGTAATGAGTATAGATCAAAAAGCTTTTACTAATTCACTGTTAAATCTTATTTTTTAAAGACATCTTTAAAGTAGACCATTTAGAATGAAATCTAAGCACTGAGATATATTAGAAAATATACCGTCCTGACATAAGTGATTTGTTTATAGATCTTGATTATATTTAACAGAATGTTATTTAAATTATAGAATTATATTGTGTATTTTCATATTAGTATTATTAAAAACTATGATCTGATCATAAATTTATAACCGTCCATTGAACTTTTTTTTACTAATATATTTTTTTCTTTAGAGTTTATAGTTATTTTTTCTTAGATTTAACATTATTTTTTATTGTAATTCATTTTATAGGTTAGTTAATTACCATATTTTTGTAAATAAATTGTTTTTTAACATTATTGTTATCTTCTTCTGTTGCTTGCCTATAATCATCCTCTAATTCTTGTGTTTACAGGTTCCTTTTTTTTTAAATAATAATTGAGAGAGGGTTTTGGTGCCAGACTTCTCAGTAGTGTAGTTGTAATTTCTACTTTGAATATAGGTAAATCTTTGCATTCTTGAAAGATTTACAAGAATTTTGAATGTCTTCCGGATATTGAGAGTATGTTCATAAGAGGCTGCAGTGTTAGTCATTCCTACTGTAGAAGTTAAAACAGAGGTACTGAGGGGAGGGGAGGAAAATAGTTTGGCAAGTTATGTACTTAACCAGAGTGGGAGTGTCAAAATTAGTTTTCAAGGGCTGTCTTGATCCCACACTCCAATGTGCTTGGCCATCACATCCTTAGGCTAGAAAAGTAGAAATATAATTTGTTTCCGTGCAGGCCCACTGTCCAGGAGTAGGAAATAAATAAATGTTGAGACTCCCGGAGGAGGCTGGATAAGGATTGTATATTATTTACATTATTATTTTTAAGAGGTAGATTCATAGTTTCTTCCCCCACTTTGACTACGGCTGTTTGATATACTGATATCTTTTGTTTGATCTTGTTAACGGACTGAAGAGACTTATGAACAGATTTGTCGGTGGAACCACGAGATGTTCCTGTTATGTTCTATTCCGATCTTCCGACCTTTATACCCATTTTTACAGATCTGCTTCTTTTCAAAACTCCTTCCTTGCCCACTCTGCTAATTTCTGAAATTTCCTCCCTTTTAAAATCCGTTATGCTCCCTCCTTTTCCACCTTCAAAACCATTCTATTCAAATTCCTATTTACAAAACAATCAGAAAATGGCTAACCACCTGTAATGTTTCAGTGTATTGTTTAAAAATTAGTGCTTTCTTCAAATATATATAGGTACATGAATTCGGTGAACTTTTTTTTTTTTTTTTCCTCTTTATTTTTTAATTCACAACTGTCAATGTCCACTGACAACCAGTGAATGAGATAACTGTACAAATACTAGGAGAAAGGGCATGATAGGCATGAGGAAGAGAAAAACCCAGTGGTTTATCTTCAGTCATGTTTGAGGCTAATTAAGGAGATCTCTCATCCAACTCCTTTTCAGCCTTCTGCGGATGTTATCGGGCATGTTTTTACTGGCCATGTCTTGTATGAGTCTATTGGGGTGACCATAGAGCTTGTTATGAAACCTTTTGTAGCACGGGCGGATCTACGAGGGGGGGGGGGCTTTCGGGCTGAAGCCCCCCCAAAATGGAAAAATATAACCATGTTTTATGGAAAAAAATATTTAATAATACCTCTTAAAGTATTATTGTTCGTGTAATTACATTTAAAAGTACTTAAGGAATAACTTAAACACCATTTCATATAGGTAGTTAGTTTCTTTCTGTTTTTCCAAAGTAATTATCGTTATTTTTATGAAAAAAAAAGGTTTCGGGCTGAAGCCCCGCCCAAAATTAAATCCTGGATCCGCTAGTGTTTTGTAGTAAGTTTGTATATGTTCTGTGACGGTTTGAATGTGTAAGTCTTTGTGGAGAGTTATGTTACTAACATACCAAGGTGCTTGAGTAATTATTCTGAAGGTTTTGGCCTGGAATATTTGTAATTTCTGAATGTGCGGTGAACTAAAAATTCATAATTTTATATTTATTAATAACATAACTAATACTAAATTAAGCAAATTTAAGATGATATATAGACAAACTTTTATTTTTTATTTATTTAACGGCTCGACAGACGCCTAAAGCTGCCCTTGGCCCTCTCAACTGCCCAATCATTTCGGTCAGCAGGATGTCTGCTGGGTACTCCCACAATCATCAAGTCCTCACCCAGGGAGTCCTTCCACGTGGTCTGACTCCATCCGAGGTTCCATAATATAATTTCGTTACTGCTCTACCTTCATCCATTCTGATGTGTCCCAGCCATTTTAAGCGTTGAATTCGCAAAAAATGAGAAACTCGAAGATCGTCGAATAAGTCGTAGATCTCTTTGTTCTTCCTTAAACGCCATGTAGTATTCTCTCTAACTGGCCCCATGATGGCTTCAAGACTTTTCTTTCAAAACTGTAAATCTTTTCAGCCAGGCTTTTGAGTCGGGTCCAGGCATAGGTCAGTACAGGTCGGATGATTGTTTTGTATATAATAATTTTGGTACCCAAACTTGGCAGTTTATTCCGGAGGAAACTTCTTAGTTTGTTAGCTCCCATTACCCGATTTTGAATTTCTTCTTCTTTGTCAACCTGATCATTAATGATGGATTTTGACCGATAAAAACCAGTTAAAAGTTTGTGCAAATCGTCTATAGCGATCTAACCTAAGAGAGGTTATACTGTGAACATCCGTCATTGTATGGCGTCGTCAATAGATTTTGGCTAACTTGTCAAAATACCTAGTTCTACCATAAATACTGTTAAAAAAGTTGAACTTTGTATATGTCCTTACCTCTTTCAGGTTTTTATCTCTACCCGTCAGGATAATAATCCCAACTGGTTTGTATTTTTCTTTCGCTCAGTTAACATGGAGTGGGGTGATTAAGAAAACCGAATAGCTGTGATCGCCTTACACAAAGTTGAAAAATGTAGGTCAGTCGAAACCTTTGGGTATCAGCCATATGTTCTTGCACCGCACTATAAATAGGTATGCTGGGACCCTATCTGTATGTGACAGACCTCGACCGGGCCGTCCCCGCACTATGAGAACGGCAAATGCAGTGAGAGCTATGGCTGCTCGAATCGGAAGAAATCCCATTCGAAAAAAACAAATCATGTCTCGGGAAATGGGAATCTATCTCATATCCATGTCTCGCATAATAAAAACATGAGCTTAGAATGGGTACATTTCGGAGAATGACAGGACAAAGGCTAACCACTTCACTAAAAAAAAAAAAAATTAAAATGGATAGATGCTAAATGATTTTCCGTTACACCAATGGTCTTTATCGAAAGATTTTGCTTATCATTCAGAATATTTTTACAATTGAAGAAAAATTTAATTGCCTAAATGATCGTGTGTACGCCCGCAAGCATATTAGAAGTGGAGATAAAAAATTAAAACGCATTAGGAGATTTTCTTTATTTATTCCTTATGAAGGCGTTAAATCTAAAAGATTTTGATATGGTTTTGAAGAGCAGCATCTCTGCTTTCTAACGGTTATTGAATCATTGAATTAGAAGAAATTCCTGAGGTGTTATGAATTATTTAGCGAACGGTAGGGAAAAAGATTCCAATAGACAATGAATTGATAACCATAGCAACCGGATTAACACCTGTCTCTTCATCTTCTCTTCTATCATCTATATATATATATATATATATATATATATATATATATATATATATATATATATATAAATGAATGTATGTCTGTCTGTCTGTCTGTTTGTCCTTTGTGCATTACTAAACCATTCAACCGATCGCCATGAAACTTTATGAAGTTGTTCCGTACACTCCTGGGAAGGTTTCTGGCATAGTACTTCTGTCTTACGATAATTTTATATATGTAAAAAAAATAAAAATGTAAATGTTTTTTCTGTTCAAAGCTGCAAAAAATGTGTCGCTATAAACTGTAGTGCCAAAACGGCTTTACCGATTTTAACGAAACTTGGCTAAAGTCTTCCCCTTGAAACCCTTTTAATTTATGTATTGAACATACTTTCCCGAAAACAAGCTGAACAATTTTACGATGAATTCAATATTTTATTTGACGATAACTAAAAAGTACACAATTTTTGACTGATAATACCCACATTTATTTGAAAGATTTTTGATTTGCCGTCAAAATAAAAAAGATGTCATCGAAATAGATAAGCATTATTTTAAAAATAAAACTATTTCTGGCGGCCGTAGGAGTAAAGTGGGTTAAATTATTTTTTTAAGGATAAACAAAGTTCGTATTTGTATTTCGCACCTCGATAAACCTTCAATTACCAATTTTCACAGGAATCGAAAAATAATTTTTTTTATAAAGATGCCCAGGAAGTCATTGGAAGAGTGGAAAGAGGTCATCACTTTTCCTCAGTGATGGTTTGGTGGAGAGTTTCCTTTTTGATGGCACCACAAAGTTCCACTTTTGTGAAAAAGTAGTTAAAACAGCCTCTAAGAACTATCAGGACGATATTTTGAAGCCTGTTGTCAAGCCTCTAAATGATACAATGTTTGCTGGAAGTCATTGGGTTTTCCTGCAGGATTCCGCTCCAGCTCACAAATCCAGGTCAACTCAGCATTAGCTACAAAAGAATACTCCATCAGGAAGCCCTCATCTCAACTCACAAGATCACCGGCTTTGGTCCGAACTGGAGAGGATGGCATCCCACAGTGCACATCCTAACTTGGAAAGCCTCAAACAATCTCTGATCCGGAGATTACCGCCATCCCGGAGATAAATGTCGAGGCAAAAAGGGGCGTTTTGAGTAATTTCTTTTTTGTTTTACTCTCTATAGATATACATATTGTTTTTTAATAAAGTTTTTGAAAAAAATAATATTTCTGCTGAAGTCAGTATATATTTCCTTGTAACAATATTTATGACAAGACTAGGTAATTGTACAGTTTTACACAATTATCAGGGTAATATTCTTCCTGAATCCTCGTTCTTCTTGTCTTGATAAGCATCACATCCGGTTGATAAAACGGTTCTCTCTTAGTTATGAATCAAGTAACAAACAGTGTTACCGCGCGCTCTGTGACTAAACCTCGTACTGAAGCCTCGTACATCCTCGTACGCTTGCATCATTCATAACTTCCACTGTTATAATGCCAGTGTTATTGTTTTTTTTTTATAGTAAAATTAAATCAGAATTTTTATTTTTGCTTCCATTCATATATTTTAAAGCCTTTTTACATTACTTTTTTTAAGTTAATGGGTCAAGAAGTAAAATTAGCTTAATAAAATATATAAAGAAGTTTATATATTTTTATAAACTACTGAAAACGTTATATAAAAATTAAAATAGCTAAATAAACTTCTTAGAGTACTCTTCATAAGTATTCATTAGTAGATCCAAGATTTAATTTGGGGGAAAGACTAATTTTTTTTTCTTTTTTCTAAAAACAAAACAACTACTTTTATGAAAGGATGTTAGTGGTTCTGGAAGATCAATAAAAATTAATTATTGAGGCATTAATGCTTTTAGAGATATCCATTATAATATAAAAAAAATAATAGATTGTGATTGTTTCAGAATTTAGCTTACAATTAGGTCTCGCACAAAATAAATGTAAACCAATGAAAAAATACTTTTTTTTTTTCATTATTTAAGATGGGTTCATTCTGAATACTAGCTAATTTTTCAATTAATTACTTTACTCGATTAAAAATCGAAAATATTTTTTTTTATATTACGCTAATAATTTAAAAAAAAATTAATTTATCTAGAATATATTTACAATTGCAGTTTCATGAAGGAAATAATAATTACGAAGGAAATAATGGATATACTTTCTAGTATTTTATTTTATGCTCTATAAAAATGACGGTAAAAATTTCTGTTTAATTTTCTATTACAACGCATTTTAAAAAATATATATTTATAAAAAAAGTTTTATGAAGGAAATAATGGATATGGTTTCTTATATTTTATTTTATACTGAATAAAATCTAAAAAAAAAATTATTTATTTTATTTTCTAGAAAATTGAAAAAAAAAAACATATTTACAATCATGGTTTTATGAAGGAAATAATAATCATACTCTAATTAAAGAAGGTATAATTGCAATTTATTTGTCTATAAAGCAACAGAAGTTCAGTATTTCATATCAACATAAATAATAATACAGTCAAAGTAACCGTAAAACAATTCTAAACTTCATTCATAAAAATATAACCTTGCATTGCATACGTCAGCAAAACTTATGTACGAGGTACGAAGCTGATCTATCCTCGTACCTCGTACATTACGTCATAACCTCGTACAAATACGAGGATCCTCGTAAAAAAGGCAACACTGGTAACAAAGGAAAAAAAATGTTTTAAAAACATATGAGTTAATTAAGAGATTATACAATTTATTTTATAACTATTTGAAAATAACTTTGGGTGAGGATGATTTTAAATTTAAATCACGTCCCTAATTGAAAATATATTTAAATATGAATTGAATTGAAAGTATTATTATGTTATTCTAATTTTAACATATGAAATATTGTTAATACACCCACGAATGCTATTCTTTTATACTCTTAAAACTAATTTATTCCATTAAAAAAAAATTACTCGTGAATTATTTGTATACTGAATATCGGCAAGAATGTCAAGAACCATTCAACTTATTTTCAGACTTATCTCCAACAGTCACATGTGTAAAATACAATCATTCGGATTGGATCTGTTGACAAGGTAACCTAAATCTTTACTACCAAAGAAATTTTTTTTTCTTTAAAAAAACCTTTATTGTTGTTCCCAAAATGACAAATACATAATTTTTGTAATGAAATTATATTTTTATTCTGATTAACACTCCATTAGGAATTGTGCAGTTATGGTTCAAAAGCTTCTGACAAGAGCATTGTACCTTAACGACTGGTCCCTAATGGGGTAATGCTGTAAATATGTCACTCATCTTTGATGGGAGGCACAAGATCTTATGATCACACCATAAATTTACAAGAAGCTATCTGAAAGTGATCTAAATGTTTCTAAAGCTCCGACCTTATCTTAACAGAACCATTGGGCGCTTATTTTTCCCATTTAAGAGAGTGAAAGTTGAAAGTAGCAATGTATTTAACACGATGGTTTTAAAAGAAAAGGACATGTTAAGAACTTGCAGAAGTCTAAATTTTGATCTAAATAAAGAAAACTTTCTAATGAAAACAAATTACTGATCTACAAGACAATACTGAAACCCATCTGGACTTACGGACTAGAACTATGGGGAACAGCTAAATGTTCTAACATCAAACGCATTCAATCCTTTCAGTCTAAAGTCCTCCGTACAATGGTCGGTGTTCCCTTCTATGTCACCAATAAAACCGTTCATAATGACCTTAATAATCCATGTTGATCTTAACCCAGACAAATTTTCCAAATTTCACCAGAACCTTACTCATCACCCAAATCCCATAGTACAATCCCTATCAAGCACCACCCATCCCTACAATCTCTCTCGTAAGGCGGCAGTGACCCCGAGACCTTTTGTAAATATGAATATATTAGAGTTCTAGCAATGGCCAGAGTCAAGAGTATCTGCGGCTGTAGTGCTCTTAGCTGGTTTTAAATACCAGTGAAGTGGTTGAGAGAGAAGCGCAGGGATCGACTAAGGCTCGCTTTTCCCTCCACGAGTGGGGAGTGAGGAACAAGATTGGTTCGGAGTTTCTCTTGCTGATTGTAAATAGTGTATATAGGTATGCTTGTACCTACGATGTTTATTTTTAAGGTGATATATAAATATTTTTTCTTTTCATCCTCCTCATAATATTTTATTTATTCTTATTTCTATGTATTCTTTTGTTATTACATAATGTATTTATGCTTCTGTTTATACTGTGTGAATGTACTCTCTGAACTCTATTATAAGTGTCCTTAACTGGGACCGATTATAATATTTCTCAATAAAAAATAAAATAAAGGGAGGTTATATAGTGCAAACTTCGTTAATCTTCGACTATTCTCGGAATACAATTTATAGCGTATTCCGGCTATTCGTCGAAGTGGAGTGACACTTGTACATTGGTGCTTTCGTTTGAATATGTTTAATTATAAATTAATTTATCTTAGTTTTCTATATGATTTCAAAGTGCTACTCCGATATGGGTGCTGGACACAAGATCATGCCTTCTTTGTCAAATAATGTTTTCCTTTCATAATAAAAATATCGGCTCTTTTCTCGTTTAAACACACCAGTGACACTAAATTCGAATAATATCTCATTAAAAATATAATGAAATGCTAAACTCTCGTTTACAGAAGGTAGTTCTGATTTTTAGTTTCTGAAATGTATTAATCTATATCTTCAATAAAACTCTTTATTACTTGTTTTTCGACACTATTTTTCCCTGTTCGCCTCTCTGATACGGCGTCACGTTAAGATACAATTTGGAATAATAGTCCATTGCAGAGAGGGTGAAATGCTGAACATTTTTCTCGCTGACAGTATGCTGGAACGATTTATAGTTTTTGAGATATTTTAATCCACATCTTCAACCAAACACATCCTCTTTTCCCCTTTTGCCAGTCTAAGACGGCGTCAAATCAAGATAAAATTTTGAATAATAGCTCATTACAAAAAGGATGAAATGCTGATTATTTCTCTGCCTTACAGTATGCAGGTCCGCTTTTTAGTTTCTGAGATATTTTAATCCAAATACAAAAACACTTCGAAAATTCACTGGTTTGCTTAAAGTAGAAAATAGCCAAAATATCAATCATATAATCGTACTATCCTATTTATCGTCATAACTAGAGGTTATTTAATTTTTTCCCTAACAATTTCTACAATATCAATTTTCTCCTCATCCTGTCACTCTAAGTTCCAAATTGTCAAAATAACGAGGTTATATAGGCCAAACGGCTTAACGGCTATCGTAGGCCACCTTTTTTATCGATTTTGTGATAAAATTATCTTACGATCCAAGTTGAAAACAACTGGGTATTTACGAGTTTTTTGTATCTAATTAAATGAACAAAGATTGCCACCCTCCAGATTGAAAATGACCCAATTACGAGAATTTTCGTAAATAAAATAATTGTAGGTTACGATGAGATGAAGCTATTTACGAAATTTCAGCCGAATGTTAATAATTTGATAAAAAGCTGTCTGTACGACGGACTATATTGGAATTATTTGATTTTTTAAATGAAAAATATGTCCAGTGTATCCCTGTTTTTCATTTTTCATTTGATTTTCAGGCACAAACATTTTTCTACATTATTGAAGAGAAACAATAAGCAGACAATTTTAAAGAATAGCAATAAAATATTTCTGGAGAGATGTAAGTTTTATAAAACTATTTAATTTTATTTTTTAAAATTATAATACAATTTATCGTTTTTTTGTGTGTGTGAGTGTTCTCCCCTTTTTTTCTTTTAGCCTATGCGGGGGTTTTCCCGGGCTAGGTGGGATGTGAGGGCGGGAGATTAATGCCAGATTTGTCATAAAAGACTTCCTGACATTGGGACGCGAACTCGTAATTATTTCGTTATCTATCTCAGGTTGCCATGCAACGGTCGGCCACCCCGCCCTCTTAAAGTTACTAACTAATGTATTTTAGAGGAAAGAATTTTGGTGATTTTCCCTTGAAGTAGCCGGAGCCATTTACAGTAACATATGAATCAACCTCGATCTCATCCTATTTATAATTTTGCTTTTTCCGTGTAACTTTTATCTTGTGGCCATTATGTTGTTAAACAAAAATAAAAAGTAAAATTTTATAATTAATCCCCTTCATAATGGCGGATCACAACACATAATTTTTCTATAACTGATCCCAATTATACGACTATTTCGTTTGTCTGACCTCTTTCAACAGCAAGAATGCTGTCATGTACAAGACCTGACCTTGAGCGTGGTTTTCGTTTTCAGTTTTTTCACCCATTCTTAAATTTTGTGATCCCCAAAACAGTGCCTTAAAAAGATAAATTTCTTAGGACGTAACGCCTTCATAAGTCTAAAACTTTATTACTATGACTTAAACACCAGACTGAAAGACTTGCTTCCTGTTCCTCACGTACGAAACCTCCTACTCCATCATTTAGCTTGAACATGCGCGAGACTTTCTTTTAGGAATCTTCCAATAATATCCTGAGTACTAATCCTTTTAATCCCTGAAATGAAACAAATAACTTGCAGATGTGAGTACTGGCAGAGCCGCTTTGGGCGAACTGCACCCGTTCGACCCGGTGTACACTAACCTGATCATCGAGAACATCTACAAGGAGATACAGTCGTGGATGTGCCAGCGAGTGGACACCACGGCGGACACCCAGAAGCTGCCAGTACTGGAGCGAGCCACTGCGCTCAACAGGCTACTGATGATCCACTGCTTCGACGTACTCCTCACCAGGGATTGTCCCTTCTCCAAGTACGTGTGGAGTAATCGTAGACATTGTCGTTTTAATACTAACGTAACGATAACATTGATGTTTTGACTTTCCATGTTTTTTAATATCATAGTATATTTGAGGCGTTTGCTATCAAAACCAGCTGATTCCATTTTTGGAAATTTTACAGGAGAGACAAAAAATCTCACGTGCCACAGTTCTAAAGCTATTTTTTTTTTTTTTAATTGCAGGTACAACCACCCAGATTTTAATTAGTTTTTCGTTTTCATTCCAGGTGCATTAGCTTGGGCGTAATTACATTAATTAAGTTGGAATGAGCTGATTTTGTTGCAAAAACACGATTTTTCAGTTTTTTTGTTCAATTAAGTTGTGTGAATTTGTTATTATTTGTGTCTTTACATACATACATATATGGCGCTACATCCCGTCACTGAGACTGGGCCTCCTCCAAAAGCTTTCGCCAGTCGATACGATCAGCTGCAGCAGCTCTCCAGTTTCGGACTCCCAGTAGAGCCCGTGCGTCCGATGTCACTGAATCCTCCCATCTTACATTTGGCCTGCCAACCTTTCTTCTTCCATGCATCTTTCCGGACAGCATTTTCCTGGGTACCGCCGATTCATCCACACGTACTACGTTCCCGGCCCTTCGAAGTCGTCCTATCTTGATAAACCTCACCAAGTCTATGTCCTTATAAAGGCAAGCGAGTTCGGCATTTTTCCTCCTTCCTCCAAAATTTGTGTCTTTACGAGTTTTAAATAAATGACATCCACTTAAGTTTATCAAATGATCTGAAATTTCACAGACATAAACTTTGGAACAATGTGAAAAAGGTCATAAATGGCAACGCCAAATGAAACAGAATTGTTTTTGTTTTTTTATTTATCAAAGGAAAATAATATTATAAATAAAATGCAGAAAGCAAGGAAAGAAAGAAAAAAGAATGCTCGTTATTAAAATGAAATTATCGTCGTCGTAATACATCGGCTCATATTCTTGGTTTTGTTCTGCTGGCCTTCCTTGGTTGCCACGCTGAATCAGGTCCTTGTGATAACCAAGGTTCTCAATGGTTTCCCATTCCACTCCAAAGTGTTTTTGAAGAAGTTTTTCCAAATCTCGAATCTTCAAGGGAGCCACCACAACTTCAGCAGGCAGGGGGTTGGGCCGCTGGTTTTTCAGCTAATTTCGTCCCTTGGTAATGACTGAGTTGTAGTTCAGGGCTTCAACTTTCACAATCAGGTTATCATTGCTTGAATTTCTTTTCACCGAAAAGCGTTTGGTTGCCGAAAATTTGAAATGCCATTTCCACAACAAGCTGGATTTGTTCAAGAGGGCAAACCTTTTCATCTAATTTTGGGTTGGAATTAGCTGGATTTGAGCTATATCCCTTCGTAATGAAGGACCCTCTTTTTCAAAATATGCAAAAAAAAGTGGATTTCAGAAAAATATGGAATGAACTGGTTCTGATAGCAAACGCCTCATTTATACTCTAGCACCTGAGATTTGCGATAACTGTTGATAAAATATAAGTCTATAAGTTAAGACCTAGTATTGAGAGAGTGGATAGAGGAACGTAGAGTAAGGAGTCCCAGGATGTAGGGAGGGTTTTTGGTTCTGAAGACTTGGAAAAGGAAAACACGAAGGAGGAATTGTCGTCGGGAAGTAGGATAAAGCCACTTCAACTCGGTGTACCAGAGTGAAACATGTGAACGCCTGGGGATTCCGAAAATGTATCTTATGAAACAATTCTTGAGTGTTTTTAGTCTCATTTCCAGCCTGGCAGATAGCCCTCCATACACCAAGCAGCCTTAGTCGAAGTGGGGGAATATAAGAGAGGTTACAAGGAGCTGTCTGGTTTTTAGAGTAATACAACCACGGAATCTTAGGAGCGGTTTAAGGGCAGTTATGGATTTTCGGGTAATCTGGGAGATATGGTTATGGATTGAATCTTTTCTTCACAATTATAATTTAGCGAAACAATTTTTTATTATTGTACTAGTAAAATAGATCTAAAACAATTTCTCAAAAATTATAATCATGAAATATTATTTTGCAAAACTACATCATAACTACATGTTCGCATAGGTATATATTACACAGTTATTATACGTGTATACACATTATAACTAAACAAAAAAATAATAAGATTTTTTTATATGACATTACATTAAAAAACAATTAAAATAATAAAGATAAATTAAATTGTATTAATTAAATAGTAATAAATTATGTGGAATAATAAAATAGAAAATAGTACGATGTAATAGACCGTGGTACAGACCCCTTTTTATCAAATTATTAACATCCAGCTGAAACTTCGTAAATAGCATTATCTCATCGTAACATACAAATATTTTATTTACGAAAATTCTTGGAATCGGGACGTTTTCAATCTGGAAATCGGCAAACTTTGTTAATTTAATTAGGTACTAAAAATTCTTAAATACTCATTTGCTTTCCACTTGGATCGTAAGATAATTTGATCTGAATCAAAATAGAGAAAAAAGTAGGTCTACAAAAATATTGTACCGTTTTTGGTCTATAAAGCTGTTTGAAATTATATGTTGGATTGAAATATGTTGGAGGTGTAGGTCACGCCAAACGGACCAATATTTTGTAGGCCACCTTTTTATCTCGATTTTGTGATCAAATTATCTTACGGTTCAAGTGGAAAGCAAATGAGTATTTACGAGTTTTTAGTGCCTAATTAAATAGAACAAGTTTGCCGATATCTAGATTGAAAATGCCCTAATTTCGAGAATTTCGTAAATAAAATATTTGTAGGTTACCATGAGATGAAGGTATTTACGAAGTTTCAGCCGGATGTTAATAATTTGATAAACAGGGGCTTGAACTACGGACTATTACGTCGTACTATTTTCTATTTTATTATTCCATATAATTTATTACTATTTAATTAATAAAATTTAATTTTTCTTTATTATTTAAATTGTTTTTTAATGCACTGTCATACCATTAAATTTATAAAAAAAAATCGTGTTATTTTTTTTGTCAACTTATAATATGTTCACACGTTTAATAAATGTGTAATATATATGCAAACATGTAGTTTTACAAAACTATATTCTATGCATATAAATTTTGAGAAATCGTTTTAGATCAATTTTAATAATATAATAAAAAAAATTTTCGTTAAATTTTAATTGTAAAGAAAAGATTCAGTTCATGTTTTTATATGATGTCACATAATAGTCCGTGTTACAGACCCTTACAGTCCGTGTTGTCAAATTATTAATATTTGGCTGAAACTTCGTAAATAGCTTCATATCATCGTAACTTACTAATATTTTATTTACGAAATAAATAAAATATTTGTAATAAATAATCGTTAGGATGAAATGAAGCTGTTCACGAAGTTTCAGGCGGATGTTAATAATTTGATAAAAAGGGGTCTGTACCACCGACTATAAGACATGTGTATACATAGGATATGGTCATCGATGTTTTAATCATATCCATCGATATTTGAAAACATCGATTTATTAATTATCGATTTGTTTTGCCTAGATACGAACTCCATTCCCCTGATGATGAGATCTGCCTCCCTGCGATTTGCGCCATCATCGACAAAGCCAAGCAGTATCAAGGAAGCCACTTCATCATCGGTGAGTGAATAATAAATAATAATTGTTCGAAATACAGCATCAGCTAAATAGAGTTAGGATGGTATAGCTCCTTCTTGTTAAGTGTCTGGTCTGGAGTGTTGGGGATTCGATCCCAGGCTGGACCAGTTAATATTGATTCCGTCTCACCCTTTTTATTACGGGGCGGTAACCTCCAGGTAGCCGGGCATGGGTTGGCAAAAACAACTAGTTGAAGAAGCTTGTCCGTGAAGCAATATAAGATTCAAGTTATGAGGAATTCAGAAAGAAGTCGATCAAGAATTGATTTTTTTTTTTTTTTTGTTACATTAATACAGATTTGTTTTACTGTATCAGATCTGAGACAAACATTTTCATAAAAAAAATCTGGTGTATAGGTGTATAAAAAAAACTCACACGACTTTCCTACATGTTTCAGAAAAGTTTTTATATCTTTACATATGTTCATAAAGAAACAAAAAGAAATTGAACTAGATTTATTTTCCTGAAAATTGATCAAAGAAAAGATTTGAGTACGATTTATTTGATAAACTAAAGTAATGTAAACCGGCTTAAGATAGATCAGTGTAAAATTTCAATACTCACTAATATTACTGATTAAAAACTTTTTGCCATAGCTTAGTATTGTCAAACAATAATTTCTGTTAAAGGAAGAGGAAATAGTGAAGCTTGTGTGATGCCGGCAACAGATTTTCTTACATTCACTTAGACATCTTTATTCTCTCATTCACCCCTTTCTGACACCAGGATATGAACCCATAATCTTAAATTGGAAATTGAATAGCTGTAACTTCGTTAATAGTTGTCCAAAATGAACGATTTTTATTAAGTTTTGTTGGTAATTTAATTACCTTTCAAAAGTTTTATTATAAATTTTACCATATAATATATACTTAGGAAGTTAGCCCCCATAAGATTTTTCTTTTCTTTGTAACTTTTTTCCTGAATTTTCTTGGGAATTTAGTCCATGTACGAAAATTGAAAGGACAATTATTAGAACAATATAGGGAAGTTTCATCAAAATTCTTAGAGCCGTTTTCGCGCTACAGTCTATAGAAAAACATATTTTTCATTTATAGCGCGCAAGCTATTGCGTGCGCATGGAGTACCGAATTTCGTCACAGGCATCAGTATTCAAAACCCTACAAAATAAAAAAAGAAGCAACATAATCGGTTCAGTAGTTCCCGAGAAAATCTTGGCACAGACAGACAGACCAATGGCTAAAAATGTGTTTATCGGACTCAGGGGGATGTGAAACGTATAGATCCGTCGAAAACCGCATATCGGAAATTTGACCCGATTTCAATACTTTCCTTACCTAGTATAGGTAGAAAGTAAAAAAAAAAATTCTGCCAAGTAAGCTCAGTATAGCTTCTCACTGTTTTCATTCGCTGAAATATAGAGAGAAATACTTTATTAAAAGTAATGCTGCCCTACTACATAGGGTTGCTTCGTACACAGCATACCTATCAATCCACAAGGACATTAATTTTATATTTCATTTTTCTATTTTTTATACATATATATGTCATATCTTTCCTTTCTTTCTCTCTTTTTCCTCTTTCCCCTCATAACAATACACTTACAAGTTATCAACAATAAAATCATATTAAATAATATACATATATTAAATAATATAAACATTTTTCCAAGACAAAAAAAAAAAAAAATTATTTCCCTGTTTCTCTCTTTAAATTTTCAAACGCCAGGAACTCATTACAACATCGCACACATACATAACACAGCAATTCCCAGAATGTAGACAAAAAGACAGGACGACAGCGGATCAATTCAAAATTTAATAAACAGTTATTACCAGATGTCCTCAATCGGTATAAATATGATAGTGGATGATTCCCAGGGAGTCCAAAATAATATTTTCGGCCAATACCGCGAGCTCCCCAACATCAACACCTAGTTCTTCGAGAAAGCTCCTTGTTCTTTCCGGGATGGTTCCGCGAGACCCAAACCAGAGGCCTCTCACGGTGAACTCTCTCTCTCCGAAGGTCTCGCGGAATTTCTCTTTTAGGAAAGGTATGCATTTTTCGTATATATTCCTCTTTTCCCTTTCCACTTCACCCGCCTGATCGAGGTCGTTGCTCTCATAGCGGACAGTTGGATCCAAGATTAGCGCTGTCCTTCCTGTTCTGGGAAACGCGACAATATCCGCATATCTTGTAGAGCCTTCATGTCTATGCAATAGACCTCGTCAAGGCAGGTGAATTCCTTTTCTCTAAGGAGCCTCATCACCTCGAACTTTACCCTATGGTGCCGGCGTGTTATGAGGAGGGAATTGTTTTGGCATTTTCCCAGCACATGGGCTGGTGTTTCCGACTCTCTGCAACATTTACGACAGAGGGACCCAACTTCCTTCGACTGTCCAATGGCTCCTGGGACTCCGCATAAAGGTGCGTAATTGATGTTTAGTTTTAAGGCGTTGGACCATTCCGACCCCGAAAGAACTTTTTTCTGGCATATGTATTTATTGGCTTTCGGGGTCTCTTTAAAGTGTCGAACTCCAACGCCTTGCCACCTGCAGCTGGCCCACTCTTCAAAAGAATTTTCTCTCAGCGACTGTCGTAGAGCTCTCACGCTTCGGTGGCCCTGATCCACTCCAAGTCCTTCCCTCACATTCCGCGATTTCCGCATTATAATCAAATGTGGACTGGAACAGGGAATCCGGCACATTAGACAGCCGCTGGGCAATGGAACAATATAACGCAGTCTAAAATTGTTCGTAAGAGGATAAAATCTCTGGGAGTAACCGTTACTGTTTTCGGAAATTCAGTAATCCCTCAAGTTATACGGATTTCATATCCACGAGTTTTGTTTATCGGCGAACAATAAAATGTGAAAGAGCTCCGCATTTGCAGATTGCATATTTGATGATTCGAGATTAAAAAAAAAAAACTTCAGGGCATACTGAACAAGGATATCGCTACTGTTAGTACAAAAGTATGTAAAAATTGAGTGTTTTTCTGAACAGCATAAAAACTAATTGTTTCTTTATGCTTTATTGGTATAATTTCATATTTTATTTTCCTCAGCTATTTTCTATCGTAGCAGACAGCTTTTATCAGTAAACCTTTAGCACAAATATAATAAAAGTTGAGATTTTTTTACATACGATCTTTTGCACTATCAGTAGTGATGTATACTTAATAGGTATGTTTTCACTCGTAAAATGGATAGAACAAAAAATCCTTTTTGTTTGTTCGGAGTTAACGAGACCAACAATTTTCTTTAGAACAAAAGTAATTAAGCTAGAATATAAAAACATTTTTATATTCTTATTTGTCATAGCATTTATTTCTATTGAAGTTCAGACAACTTTGATATATTTTTTTATTTTTTATTTATTCATGATATTTACAACTGTATTAAAAAATTAAATGCATTAAGTAAATTTGATAACAGAAAATAAAAACATGAAATGACTTGTTGAGAAACTACCCACTGGTAGCACTCTAAAAACAAAATGTATTTACAATAAGAGATCTCGAAGCCATCTTCTTTTCAGACGCCTCGGAGGGTTATCAGGAATAGAAGAGGAAGCAAGGTTAGAGACGAGAGGATTCGGATGGTTCTGAAGTTTATTATGGAAGGACAGATATCTGGATTGGGCCAAATCGGAAACATGAGGAACATTAAGGTCATTATGGATTATTTTATTGGTGACAAAGTAAGGAGCATTGAGGATTTTCCGAAGGATTTTGGATTGTAAGGATTGGATACGAGAGCAATTCGATGGCTTGGTGGAGCCCCAAAGCTCAACTCCGTAAGTCCAAATAGGTCTTATTGTAGTCATGTATATAAGTCTTTTGTAATTTACTGGAAGATTAAAGCGTTTGTCTATAAGTGTTGGAGTAGTCGGAAACGTCGAGCGGTTTCTTGTCGTTTCAGTCTGGTATGAGGATTCCAAGTTAGACGTTTGTCCAAGTGAAGTCCAAGGTATCGGATTTGTTTAACAGGGATTACTTTGATATTTAAGTAGGAAATTGAGATCTCGACGAGCTGGTTGAAACTATACGAAATCTAAGTAACGGCAGTGATTGTTAACGTTTGGAATCGGCGAAACAATACAGTATAAATTAACTTTTTCATTAAAACCTAATATTTTATAACCCTATAAAAATTATGTCTTAAGCTAACTCTCATTCCAAATGATCTACGCCTTCCACATTTCACAGGCATTATATTGTTAAGAATTATTTATATTAATTTTAATTATTAAATTGAATTCAATGATATCGTTATTAGGTAATTTCTATACTATTCTCCAAGCTTAGGTCAAATCTAACGCGCAGTTTTCAAACTTTAAACATGTCAAATAATACATTTACTGATCTGTAAGCGGAAAAATTATTTTTGAGATTAGTGGATTTGATAAAATTGTTTCATGATTGATTATCATTTCACCAATCCCTTACTTCCCTCCAAATTTAAGCCAAATTGAATGTGCGATTTTAGAGATATTGACGAATCAATGAAAAGCGCATATATAAGTGAAAATAGGTTACCGATTTCAATAAAATCGGTTTCCGACTGCTCCTACACTTACTAGACAAACGCTCCAAACTTTCTATTAATTACAAAAGACTTATCTACATAACTATAATAAGACCTATATGGACATACGGAGTTGAGCTTTGGGGCTCCACTAAACCATCGAATTCTTCTCGCATCCAATCCTTACAATCCAAAATCCTTCGGAAAATCCTTAATGCTCCATACTTTGTCACAAATAAAACCATTCATAAAGACCTTAATGTACCATATGTCGCTGATTTAGCTCAAGCCAGATATCTATCGTTTTATGATAAACTTCAGTCCCATCCAAATCCGCTTGTTTCCACTCTTGCTTCTTTCTCGATTCCTGATAATCCTCCTAGGCGTCTGAAAAGGAGATGGCCTCGTGATCTTCTTACTTAAAATTATTTAGAGAGTGCTACCACTGGATAGTAACTCTTCAAGCCTGTACATGCCATTATTTATATTTGCG